ACACAACCGCCTATTGTCTTATCATACATGATCGTTTAATAAAATATAATCCCCTCTCTAGTACTGTCAGAATTATTTAATTTTGTACTAATTTTTTGTATAGTTATTTGCAAATTAAAATAGTTTAACATAATGGTGACCTTTTATTTGCGCATGCTCTTATTAAAACTGTATAAAATGTATCAAACGTTGCAAATATTATTCATTGTGTAATTTATTGTTAATCTGTCAAGTTTAAACAAAAAACATGTTTCAAACAAAAATAATATCTAGTCTGATTGTGACTTTGAATTTCATCGATTTTGTCGTCGTGCATACTCCAATCAAAGCAAACTCAATTTTGGAAAAAGTCTACGTTGAAAATTAAAACTTTTCCAATTGAACGAGGAACATTCTACCTATACGAAAAATCCAAAGAAAACATAACTTTGAAGCAGTGTCCGGCATTCTATTTTGACGGTGCTTTTCCCGTAGGAACGCAAATTCGAAATTCGTTTAATAAAACTATACGTACAGTAATTGGTCAACATTTGAATTATTATCCGATATTTCCGAGAGAAAATACGATCATGTATTGTGGAAGATACGGCTTGGAAAATCTAATTGGAAATAAATCTATAATTGTTGAAAATTATGAATTAACATTAGATGATTTTGACAAAAATTTTGTAGAACTATCTAGTCTAGATTATCAATGTTTCATTTATGCGTAAAATTATTTATATACTATTGAGAATTTAAATAAATATATTTATCGATGAATATGTTTTTATCTGCGCATCACCCAATCTCTGAAAAAAATAAGTGAAAAGTGCTACACCGTCAACTTATTCTAAATCTACGCAATCAAATAGTGAAAAATTTAGCAAATTGTAATTTTAACATATTTACTTTGTATGTACAAAATATAATGATAATAAATAATAAAACCTTTGACCATTTAAATGAGATATTTTTGTGTTGTTTATCTAATAAAATGTAAAATTTTCGTTAAAGTGTTTAGTCAAGTACGAAGCAGCAGCAGCCATGAATAGTGATCGTTACGTAACAACAACCGAAAAAAAAAGTGAAACAAGATGTTTCGGAAAACTCCAAAGTCTACTACTATAACGGTACCAAGTACTGTAATAGCTGTAACAAATCTTTTTGCTTTTGTGAAGAATCCATTAAAAATTATCCAATATGTAATATAAAATATTGTTCGCAATCAACAAGTCGTTCGAACAATATAAGTTTATATTGCGACGAAGTTATTCCATCATCGTCGTCGTCGTCGTCGTCGTATCGGTGCACATTTATTTAATTGTATTCACCTCGACAACCTTTTTAGATATTATTTTGTTTTCTATTCAAACTTATCAATGTAAATGTTTTAAATAAATCATCAATTTTTTCGGTGCACATTTATTTAATTGCATTCACCTCGACAACCTTTTTAGATATTAATTTGTTTTCTATTCAAACTTATCAATGTAAATGTTTTACATAAATCATCAATTTTATCGGTGCACACTTATTTACTTATATCGACCATCGCGCATACACGACGCGATAACGTGCCGGCCCAGTTACGCTAGGGGAACAGCGCGCGCGTCGGCGGCGGCGTTTATCTCCGAAGGTTCGAGGTTCGAATCCCGCCCGCGAGACATCGGCGGCGGTCGCTTTTTTCGGCTCTCAAAAATTTCTCACCCCCGCACCCAATACCCCCCGTAGTGCCGAAAAGGCACTACGAAATTTATTTTTTCTACGAACCCCTTTTTTTACCGGGGTGCAATTGCCAAAAAGGCACTAGCGACTATGACGTCATAAAATGTTTTTTTAATCAGTGACACCACTTTTTCCCCAAGGGGAGGCGCCAAAAAGGCACTATGACGTCACACCTCGACACAGGTGTAATTACCTTACCCACCCCCAGGGGTCCCCATACACCTGTGTACACCCTAATGGTGACAGTTTTCACTTCTTCGGCGTGACCTTTACTTCTTTTACATGACCCCTTACGAAGAACTGGCTTTGGTACACCGCTGATGGAAAATGCCATCGGTGACCTTGAATCGTCACAGTCCGCGTTAGTATAACTACTTCTACATCTCCTTCGGGTTTTGATTATCATAACACACTTCATCTACGACAGGTGCAAAATTTCTTTGAGCAACTGTTTTATCAGTTTTTAAAAGTCGCAAAGTAATGTACGATTTAAAATCAAATCAATCAATTCGTCATCAAAAAACATAAAAAATATTTCAAGCGGAGTTTTTCCGGAAAACCTATTTTTTAGTTCCTCACATGATTTAAATTCATCGTATGTGAGTGCACTCAATCTAACCTTTCTTCCATTTGACAGTAAAGCAAGCCAGTTGTTTGCAGAAAGCATATGTCTTCTTTAGCATGAATTTTCAAGTAATGGAATGCTACAATACATAAGAATACGTAAATCCAAATAATACTTACGAACTCGTCCATCCCGATCTCCTCCATAGCCGCCTCTAATTCCTTTTGAGTCAAATACCTCGGAAATGCCATATTTTACGAACTGTAACGTTCACTGCGCAAGTCACCAACTAATACTAAAGAACACGCTAATTGTTGCGATGTTTATTCTACATGCGCTGACTTGTCTGGACGTGCAATAACAAAGTTTTGTTTGACAGATAAAACCAGTGGCGCATTCACGCACCAGTTAATATTTTCAAAAAATAAAGCATAATCAATATAGTATTTGCCATGTATGTTTTCTGCATCTACATGCTATAGACTTAACTTATTTTTTTTTACTATTTTGGTTGTACTTGAAAATGTGATACAAATTTATGTTCCGCTTTTGTTAACCTTTGAAGTCATATATAAGATCTTTAATTTAAACATAAATTAGAGATTTATACGGCTTTATGTCCTTTAGTAGTGATAATAATAAAATTTATAAATGTTGTAATTTAAAAACAACAATGTTCGAGTTTACTAATGAGAAGTTGGCAGATATGCATTTTAAGTTATGTTTTTCTAATAGTCATACCATTTTCAAATAACCATTTAATAGGGGTCGATCAGACCGAGAAGCCTTGGTGTATTATTAGTAACAAAAAATCCACTCACGACACATACATATATGTCACAATAAAATTACATTGGTCAAAAAGAAAAAAAAAGAAGCTGATATTTCTATAACATATTTGTCACTGTCTACAAATATGAATGGGCGGTAAACTCGTTTCGTTTAATTTATCACAATCGTCGATGCAATCATCATAACAAAGTACTTTTGTACTTTCCAAATGTAGAGTTTTTTTGTGTCGACCAAACTGCCTGAGGCGCCCACAAATCTAAACGAATCTATAAATCAAATTTTTTACTTACATTCCATAAGATTCTTCGATTGTTAATTAAACTTAAAATCCATTTTTTGCCCAAGCCTCCTAACAATAAAATGTGAATCATATCCTGAGAGTTTATGGCACTACACACTACGAATAAATTTATAATTTAATAATTTCCAGTAAAAATGGTAATGGTAATGGTAATGGTAATGACACACACTTATTGACGATCTGTCAACGGCCATGTTGGTTGTGGAATACGCAAGGTCATTGGTTCAAAATGAGATTTTAAATCTCGCGCATGCGCATGTTCATTCGAAGTAGATGATCAAAGGGGGTTATAGCAGTACATAACTTCACGTTTGGTATCGCGAGGTGAAGGGGGCCCCAGGGGTCTTGCTTGAAAATGTTTAAACGAAACCTTCATATTAAATAGCCACTCGGTTCGATCAGTAACCCACACATGTTTCCTTCGACACAGGAAATGTTGATATTATTAACGCATGCGTTTCCTGCGGCATCGAGTTTATCATCGCATTTCGCTCGTAAATGGAAATCGTTTAAACAAAACGTTCATTTTTAATTATCGACACATACAATTACGCGGCCGGATGAATACTCGCGCGGGTTTCAATCAGAAACTGATTAGAAAATAAAAACGATAAGTAGAATATATATAATATTTTATTGACTGAAATGTTTTCAATTTATGAGACAAGAGTTTTTGTATTACCTCGCGGTAAATATATATATTAACGGATTGACAATTTCTGGGAACAATTAAATGTAGGACGAGCGTTACCCACTTCAAATTTGTTAATATTAATTTCCAAATAAAGAATTTTTTGCAAGGCAAATATCGTTCTTGAAATTCAGACAATTTATTTAAACTTTTTCATCAACATCAAACATCAAACATATTCTAACAATATTCACAAATGTCACTAAAATATAAATAGAAAATAAATAGCGAAGTAGTATTTGGTAGTTGTCAAAGTACTGCAAAGTTATTTTTAAAGTTTAGAATCGAAAACTATGTTAAAAAATAACATTCAGTCGGTTTTCCTCCACCATAAAACCCGCACTTTTAAGAAAGTTAATGGCTACCGGGGCATCATCAAGATCACTGGTGCGTAGATATAATCTAAATTGTGATACAAGTTTAGTGAGAAAGTGAGTAGCTAAATCAAAACATTTCAAATATCAAAAACGTGTTAGTAAACCACAAGATAAATTGAATCAAGTTCAGATTGGTTTGAAAAATTATGTCTCGAAGAACTAAAGTAGAGGGTTCATTTCAGTTGGTCTGGGCCAGTATACGTGCCTCTTTAAAAATCGAATTGGCACCGATGGGCGTATAACTGCTGTTATTTATCAAGCAATGTTACATGATTACTTTCTACCATTCATTACGCTGACTGAAGACAGGACCATAATTTTTCAACACCACAATCCACCCATCCATGTAGCTGCAACTACAAAACAGTGGTTTCAAGAATTTGGGTATTCAATTATTAGAATAGCCAACAGTTTTTTTAGACCTAAATCCGATAGAGAACGTCTGGGGGCTAATAACAAAAAAATTATATGATCACGAAAAGCCAATAAGTTTATAATTCTTCACAGTGCAAATGTATAGAGGGTAAAATCCACTGCGACCTGATAATATTTGAAAATTAGACTTACCCCCTCCCCTCTATTTTAATTTTATACAATTTCAAATTGTTGGGCTGGCCAATACCCGACTTCTTTGACGCCCTGATACACCAGACTGTAGCGGCCCGTTGAAAACTGGCCTATATTCGGTCGTTCCGTCAGTCGGTTCGGCAAGAACACCGCCGATAATTCTAATTCCACTAGCACCGCCTTCTAAGACTGGGTCTTTACTATTCTGGCCTTTTCTATTTTGCTCGGATGACACCCAACTGCGCCAACTTAACTATAGGCTTTCGATTGTCTCTATCCGCTCCAACTTTTTCATTCAATGCGTCTAAATCCATCTATAACGAGAATAGAAAATTTCAATATTGATAAGAAAAAAAAAGTGGAGTAGAGTGGAGACGGCTCAAAAAACAAGTGAAGGACTTGATCACACACACTACTCAGACAATATAACTGATATCAAACGATCGAAACCTTTTATACTGTATGTAGTCTTTATAAAATAGATACTACTTGTTCTTAATAAGTTTGATAGTTCAGTCTTGTCACAATTGAATCAGAAATTCAAAACTTAAAATGTGTGTAGGTTAGATACGTCAGTAGTTATCTAAACACTTAACTGTGACTGCGGATGGTATCTAGGTGACCATCATCCCTCCAGAAGTGGTTGTAGCAGCTGAAAAAGTAAGGTGTCTCGAGGGTTAATTTTTCGCGTTAGTGCCTTTTTGGCAATTCCGACCCCGCTAGAGAGTTAGTTTTCGCGTTAGTGCCTTTTTGGCCGTTCCGACCCCACTGGAGGGGTAGTTTTCGCGTTAGTGCCTTTTTGCAATTCCCACCCCGCTAGAGGGTTAGTTTTCGCGTTAGTGCCTTTTTGGCCGTTCCGACCCCGCTGGAGGGGTAGTTTTCGCGTTAGTGCCTTTTTGGCAATTTCGCCCCCGCTAGGGGTAGTTTTGGCGTTAGTGCCTTTTTGGAAAAGTCACCCCCAAATTTTTATTAACAATTCGTTTACAATGTATCTCGAACATAATACGCGGGATATGCTTAGAAAAACTTCGTACCGACGTTCTTTTGTTGGGCCCCCTTCAAAATTTTTTCGATTTTCTTTCCGCCGTTACTTTTTTTGCACGTGTCGCACTAGACTTTACTATACGATTTACTTACTAGACTACTACTAGACTATACGATGCTATTGCGGTTCTGCAACCGATTTGTCTTACCATGTCGGATCTTCCGCAAGTTTTACATGTTAAAAATACATATTGCTGATATTTTATGAATAATTAATGTTTAGAGAGTGTGTTACATTTATATAAAGATTGAAGTGACATTTTTATGAAATATCGCTAACAAATGGAAAGTTAAGTTAGCCAGGTCCCTTTTTTGACTTCAAGTAAGTTGGTGGTGTATGTTTGAAGCCATAGGGTTTTGCGATGGTCCTGTCCCATGTACAAGCGATACACGGATAATTTGGTAACTCAGATTAACCTTTAAACTTTGGACACACGTGATTGACTGGTATCGGGCATCCCTATCGACTTTTTGTTTCTCTTCTGTACTGCTCCTTTCTTAACAACTGCGGGTAAAAATATATTCAGTTAAATTATATATGATTTTGAAAACAATAATATCCTTACCTAAGACTTAAGTTGGTCACCTTCTGCTGAGATTTTGAGCTCGTGAAGTTGTTTTATTAATTAAAATAAAAAATGATATTGAATGAATAAAAAGTTAATGTTCCAAAATTATATTTGATAGCCCCAGGGTAACGTGTCGGTAAACACGTAATTAATTACTCTTTTATCGTCGAAAGGTGTTAATGCGATTTTTCTTTGTTTTACCGTGTACATTTGATGTTTTCAGCTACGAGGTAGATGTTCCTCGGCATATATTTGGATTTTATCAAATAAACAGTCGTAATAATTTTCAAAAGTTATCGTTTTTAACGATGTCCCTTTTATAATATATACCCGAAATCCGAATCATCTGGGGTGTTAATTATATTTTCCGAATAAAATGCGCTGTTATCGATCCACTGAAACCCGCCAGTAGGTAGGGGCTGATTCATAGCCATTCCATATAAGTTATGTATCAAAATACATGAAATGAGATGATGGAACGTTAGGATCATAATCCTTTTCCATATATTTATTATTGGATTTTCCGTATCGATTACTACATTGGGAAACTCCACCGCGTATTCCCTTCTCTATCATCATAAGTTGATCGATGTCAGTGATTAATTCTAAATGAACATCGCACATGAGAAGACACGCGTCTAAACCTGGAGCCGTGTAATATTTTAAACATTCTAACCCGTACGTTTTTCTACATACCGCCCGATAATTTTCAAATACGTCAACCAATAATAGTATGTCGGTTTTTAAATATAATTCCATGTATTCCCGTAAATTTTGAATTTTAAACGTGTTCCAAACATTTAGGGCGTGCTCGTAGGCGTCTGTGGTGATTCCGGATTTTCTAAATCTACTGTAGACATTTTCTATAGGCGGCAATTTTGTCTCAGTCAATTTTTCCCAACTGTCAAGATATTCATATGGAAACACTTCCTTTTTCGAGCGTAAATTAAATTCTTCCTCGTTTTTACAGCAACTCCGGGTAATATGTTTTTCATTAGGCCCTAAACAGGAACTCAATTTACCTAAACTACTCGTCATGAAACGAAACGAATCCAAAAATCGAAAATAAATGCTTGTTTTCGATATATTTTGTGAATGCTATATACTTTTCCTTGTTACGAGGTAATGGCGTCATAGAGCCGGGCATTTCGGAAGCTAGATTTTTAATGAAAAAATTTTGATCGTTAAGAAGCACTCGCCAAACAGCAAAAGGTGAAGGAAATGGACAGTACAATTAATTCTACCAGGTACTAATAAAATAAACCGGTTACTTCGCAAATGTGCCAGCACTGGTACTTTAAAAATGCTAAATTTTACCATTGAAATATGAAACCGTCACAATTCATCTGCTCAAACCATAGCCACGGTTATCGGTCAACACTTAAATTACTATCCGGTATTACCGAAAAAGACAAATAATAGTACCATCATGTTTTGCAGAAGATACGGCCTGGAAAACTTATATTCGTCTACACTTGATGAATTTTTAAAATTTCATCACATTAGCAAATATGGAATATCAATGCTTTATTTACGTATAATGTTTTTTATCGATTAGCAAATTTAAACATATCGGATGTCAATACTTTGTAAATGTTGTCAATAAGTCATAAATTTTATCGGTGCACATTAATTTAATTTATTTATGCGGAACCAGAACAATGCAATTTATCACAAAGTAGCTAACCTCGGGGTCACGGCACGTCACTATTTAATTTAAGTAAAATCCAAATATATGCCGAGGAACATCTATCTCGTAGTCGAAAACATCAAATGTACACTTTAAAACAAAGAAAAATCGCATTAACACCTTTCGACGATAAAAGAGTAATTAATTACGTGTTTACCGACATGTTACCCAGGGGATGTCAAATATAATTTTGGAACATTAACTTTTTATTCATTCAATATCATTTTTTATTTTAATTAATAAAGCAACTTCACTAGCTCAAAAACTCAGCAGAAGGTGACCAACTTATGTCTTAGGTAAGGATATTATTGTTTTCAAAATCATATATAATTTAACTGAATATATTTTTACCCGCAGTTGTAAAGAAAGAGAAACAAAAGGAAGGAAGAGAAACAAAAAGTCGATAGGGATGCCGATACCAGTCAAACACGTGTGTCCAAAGTGTAAAGGTCAATCTGAGTTACCAAATTATCCGTGTATCGCTTGTACATGGGACAGGACCATCGCAAAACCTTATGGCTTCAAACATACACCACCAATTTACTTTAACTCAAAAAAGGGACCTGGCTAACTCAACTTTCCATTTGTTAGCGATATTTCGTAAAAACGTCACTTCAATCTCTATATAAATGTAACACACTCTCTAAACATTAATTATTCATAAAATATCACTCGAGTAATCGGAGCGATGATTAACTCAAAGCAATATGTATTTTTAACGTGTAAAACTTGCGGAAGATCCGACATGGTAAGACAAATCGGTCGCAGAACCGCAACAGCATCGTATACGTGCGACACGTGCAGAAAAAGTAGCGACGGAAAGAAAATCGAAAAAATTTTGAAGGGGGCCCAACAAAAGAACGTCGGTACGAAGTTTTTCTAAGCATATCCCGCGTATTATATTCGAGATACATTGTAAACGAATTGTTAATAAAAATGTGGGGGTGAGTTTGCCAAAAAGGCACTAACGCGAAAACTACCCCTCCAGCGGGGTCGGAACGGCCAAAAAGGCACTAACGCGAAAAATTAACCCTCGAGACACCTTACTTCTTCAGCTGCTACGACCCCTTCTGGAGGGATGATGGTCACCTAGATACCATCCGCGGTCACAGTTAAGTGTTTAGATAACTACTTTGAACACTGAAAACTGGTACAATTACAAGTCCGCAAAAATTTTTTCAAAATATATAACACCCAAACGTTATACTGTCCCAACAATACCAAAGGAATTTAAATAATGCGTTTGCGACTCACTAAATATTTAGATGAATTTGAACCCTAAGAGTCGATACAATTAAAAGTCCGCAAAATTTTCCCAGAATATATAACGCGCAAACCATTTTTTTGCAAACAGTAACATGTAAGAATAACATTTTAAGGAATTTAAACAATGCTTAGATGAGTTTGAACACTAAAATCTGATAAAATACCAAAGGCAAAAAATTGGAAAAGTTCAAAGAAGGCACCGAATCTTTAAAAGAATTTGTCAACTTGCCCGAATCAAAAGTCCCCAAAATATATTTAATACCAAAACGTTATATATATATATATATATATATATATATATATATATATATATATATATATATATATATATATATATATATATATATATATATATATATATATATATATATATATATATATATATATATATATATATATATATATATATATATATATATATATAATATATATATATTTAGATCCCGCTATCTTCCGAGCGTCCTTTCATGGATCCCTCTCTGAGCGTCCAGTATCGTTTTCTTCAAGATCCCTACTTTAACAAGTGAATATTTTTAAGTTTGGTAAACGAGATGGCGTTGGGTTTCCTTAGGCCAGATTTTACTAAGATCATTTTTATGAAGTTTTGTGATACTGATATGTCGGCGTCCTTTCATAGAGATGAGTTGCTAGCGTCCAATATACACGGGAAAACTTTTATATTCCAGCATCCCAGCGTCCTTGTGTATATTTTTCATTTATTGCGCAGATTTCTGAGCGTCCGAGC